CTCCTTGAGGCTGCAGCCAGCAGAGACCCCGTCCCCGAAGTAGGGTGCACTTCTTTAGGACTTCAGCCTCTTGATATGAGAATGTCCTGATTAGTCATTGGAAGATGACCGTGGCAGACAGAGACGAGTGCAGCTCGAATCCCCTCCAGCCTGGCTGCAAGGAGTGGGGTCACCCCAGCCCCCGGCTGTCAGTGCTGTCTTCAGCTTTCCAGCCACGGCCATGCTCTTCCCATCACGACCCCAGCCAGTGACTGAGCGAGGCAGCAGTACAGTGGCCTGGCCATCGTCAGGCACGTGGGGCTCCTCTAACATACTGTGAGCTCTGTGTGGGGGTCTGTTTCTCTTTCACAGATGCTATTCCCCATAAACCACTAGGGCTTCTAACTGCACACAGGGTCTGTTTCCCAGAGAACTCAACCTGCAACCATTATTATTCATTTGGTAGCAGACATATTGAAATAGCCTCTGTAGTAAATTTTTTGGTAAAGAGAAAGGATGAGTTAAAGAATCCTAAAACTTAACAGCATTATTTACAGTTGCCAAGGTATGGAAGCAACCTAAATGTCCACCGACAGATGATGGATAAAGAAGATGTGGAATATATAAACAATGGAATACTACTCAGCCATAAAAAAGCATGAAATATTGCCATTTGCAGCAGCATGGATGAACTTGGAGGGCATTATGCTGAGTGAAATAAGTCAGACAGAGAAAGACAAATACTGTATGATATCACTTATATGTGGGATCTAAAAAATACAACCAACTAGTGAATAAAACCAAAAAGAAGCAGACTCACAGATATAGAGAACAAACTAGTGGTTACCAGTGGGGAGAGGGAAGGGGGGAGGGGCAATATGGGAGTTGGGGGGAAAAAGGGTTATTATGAGATTGTATGAAATCATGTGTGTGAAACTTTTGAAAATGGTAAAGTACTATAGAATTTAAAGACTCATTTAATAAAAATTAAAAATAAATAAATAAATAAATAAATGAATATTGACTGAAAAAAAAGAATCATAAAACTTAGGCACAAATGGAAGCTGTCTTTCTCTCTTGAGTCCGGAGAGCCCCCAGCCCACCCCCAGATGTGCTTGTTCTGGGCTCCAGAGCTGCTTGTTTGGCTGGACAGCAGCCCAACTGCTGATACCCTCATCTGTATCCTTGGTTCCAGAGTAGGTGGTTTTCTTGTACTCACCTCCTTGCTTGTGATATTCTCCCGCAATCCATAGACCTGTCTCTGGGTTTTCTCTGCTGTCGTGTCTTCTGCAGCTCATGGGGACATTCAGGTTTACATTCTGATGGTAGGACAATGCTTGCATTGGTTCCTGTTAAAATGTTCTGTAGAAATCTGACTTTCTTCTTCTTCTTCTTCTTGTGATTCCCTTTTAATGTAATGGAACTTAACAAGACATAACCGAGTTTTTACATTTAGTTCCTTTTGTGTGTTATCCATCTAAAATGCATGCTGGTATAATTGCAAAGTGAAGACCTTTTTTGATTTTTTTCCCCCCAGAGAGCCACTTGCCTTCATAGAGTTTATAGACTGATAGATCCATCCTGCCTGGCACTTGGTGTTTGGCCGACAAAGGTTGTGGGTTCTCTGGGCAAGGGAAACCATCGAGCTCACTTGATTTAACGCTGAAGTCACTTTGTTATGTGGCAGCGATTTCCCCACATTTCCAGCATCTTTAGCTTTTTCTAACTAGTTGTCATATCAATTAGTCATATGTATTTCTAATCTTTAACACAATAAGCCTACAACACCTGGCACATCTAGAGTTTCTCCTTTGACTTGTGCACGCTTGCTTCTAACTTCTGTTCCCCCGTCCGGCCCCCCGCGTCCTTACCTCCTTAGCAGAACTTCAGGAAACTGTTAGTGCTTGGGTTTTATCTCATTTCATTTCAGGCTCTCTCCCTGAAGGGTCTCACATACACACACCTTTAACTGCTGCCTGTTTTCTGTTACTATCCAGATCCCATTTCTATATTCTAGACCCATATACCCGATTGCCTATCAGAACATCTTCAGTAAGGTGGTCCACTGACACCTCAAATTCCAGGATGTCCAGAGCCAAACCTGACATGCTTCAATTATGGAATTCCTTCTGGATTTGACATCTTGGATTAAATTATTGCCATCTACCGAGCCCTCTGGCAGGTGGGGGGGGGTCATTCTTGAGTCCTCCATTTACCCCAGCTACTCGACCTGTCCACCTTGACAGTTTCCCCTTCTGAATGTCACTGTGCCAGCTTCTCCTCTTACCCTGCTGCCCCTGGTCCAGGCCATTTCACTCCGTCTGAAATACTACCACTGCTTCTTCCTGCACGCCCCTGCCTTTCTTCTCAGCCGTCTTACGGAACCTGCTCCAGGGAGAGCATCAACCCCGGCCTCGCCTGCCTCTCCAGGCCCGTCTCCTCCCTTCTCAGCCGCCTGCCTGCTACGCTTACTGCCTGCTGCTGTCTGCCTCTGAACCTTCACACACGCTCCTCCTCTGTTCCTGCCCTCCACTTGGCAATTTAATTAATCTGTAAGTCTTAGCCCAAGTGTCCTCTTTTCCAGGAAGCAATCCATGAAGTCCCCACTGATGGGAGGCGCTTTCCCCTCACCCGTGTAACACATCATACAAATTTCTGTCAGGCTTCTTTTTTTCCCTGAATGATATTTTCCTTACCGTCTCTCTTGCCCATGAATCATGAAACCCTTGGAAGTAAAGACAAAGTATTTTATTCATGGTTATTTTATTTCTGCATTTCAAATACCAAGGCTTATAGATATTTTTCACTAAGTGGGATCTGGCGTGTGTGTGTGTGTGTGTGTGTAGATCTGCCGTGTGTGTGTGTGTGTGGTGTGTGTGTGTGTGTGTAGGTATGTTTGAGTGTATGTCAGTATTATCACATAGTAAAACAAATTTAAGGTACCCTTTAGAATTATGGGGTTAAAAGATAACAAACCAACATGTTCTAGGGGAAGTCTGAAGTGGAAAAATGGAGGAGAGAATTTAGTGATTTTCAGCATGTGATCAGCTATGCACAGCATTTAATATATAATCAGAAAGAATCTTTGATGGTCTGTGTAGCATTTTCATCTTTGTAGATGTGTAGTGTGTAGAATTTATGACAAATTATGTAACTAAATACATTTATATTTTATGTTTATCAGATTTTGAAAAACTTAGTTCTTTTAAATGACGCAGGTTTTATTTTTTGTTTGGGTTTTCTTTACTAGGTTCAGGGCTAAAAAACGCCCACACATTTTAATGTATTTTAATGTAAATGCCATCACTAATTCAGTGATGTTTAAGGAAATATAAGGTACATATTATTTCAATGTGAATATAAGACCATAACAAAGATCAGGATTACCTATAAAATTCACAATTTCACAAGTAAAAAACATTCAGAATTCTTTTACTGAATATTTATTGAGCACCGACTGTGTGCCAGGCATGCTTCGGGCCCTGGGGATATTTCAGGGTGTTCTGGCCTTCATGGGGCTTCCAGTCAGCCAGGGGTGAGGACTGTGCCAGGGACGATGGGACAGGTGATGGAGGAGGTGACGTTTACAGTGAGGCCCAGCTGCTGGGAAAGACGTCCAAGCCGGGACAAGTCGTGCCCTTGATAGTCACCCACATTGGATCAGGTTTACCTGTGGTGGCTTTCCCAGTAGACGTTCTTACACATTGCTTTATTGTCAGGTGGGAACAAATGAGGTAAACACACGTGTATATTGCTGACCCAGTTGGAAAGTTACGACAAGAAAACCAAACCAAACCCCAAGCTGGCTTGAATGGAAGAGGTGGTGTGTCGATAGCTGCCTGGAAATATACTTATTCCGGAGGTCTGAATATATCAATAAGTTTTTTACCTTAATCTTTTTTTTTCAATTTTTTAATCATAGGAATCTGATATATTTTTAAAAATATTTATTTATTTATTTGGCTGTGCCAGATCTTAGTTGCAGCACTTGGGATTTTTGTTGCAGCATGCGAGATCTTTAGTTGCGGCATTCAGGGTCTAGTTCCCTGACCAGGGATCGAACCAGGGCCCCCTGCATTGGGAGCGCGCGGAGTCTTAGCCACTGGACCACCAGGGAAGTCCCTACCTTAATCTTTCAAAATGTTAGACTGTTAGGCTAGATAAACCTTGAATGAGGATTTTCATAGTAAAATAGAAATATATTATCAATACCAAGGAATGAATTTTAACCAGCGTTTGGATTTTCTACATTTTTTTAAAAGGCAGTTACAGATAGAATACAAGGACTTTTATTGCCCAAGAGTAACTTGCCAATACTTGTTGTAGAGTGAAAATAAAGTCGTTCTCGTTTGTTTGGGTCTTTCGGGAAAAGCTGCTTTCATTCTCCAAATACTCTTGTATATTGTAAATTTGTTCTTTATTGTATCTACCAGAGGCAGTGGTGGGGGGATACTACAATCCTAAAACTAATTTTTAGCTATTAATTTCAAGAAATTCTTGCCACCAATTTCATTTCCTTATTCCACTGAGTAAGGTCTTATCCTTTTTGTTGTTCATCTTTCTTCCCAATTCCGTTTCTTGTCCAGAGACCAGCGAGGATTTTAATGAAAATGGGAAGTGGAAGGTGAAAAAGAAGACACCTAGAGAATCTGGCATTTGAGAGCTTATTCTTGTAATATTTAAGCAATGGCTGTGATTTAATTAAGATAAAATGATCACTTCAGGTTTTTTTTTTCTCTTTTCTTTCTTATAGGGAGAATTCAAGTTGGGACAGTAATCTCTTTAAAACATTCAGGGAAGGAAGTTTGCTTGGGGCAAGTAAAAGAGACTGTCCCACTGGGGTCCAAAATAAAGTGCAATATTTATGTTATTACGAAGTTTTTTTTTCTTTTCTGAAATATATCTATATAGATATATATAGATATACAGCATGTACTATGGGCTAACATGAAAATGTGTAATTTCATTTGTTGTTTATTTTCTCTTTATATCTTCTGAATTTTCGTTTGTTTGTTTTATAGAAAATACTGCAGTTTCTACCTGAACGAATTTTCTTTCGATGGCATTACCAGAGTATAGGTAAGAACAATTACAAAAATTTTAAGTAATATAGATTTCTTCCAATAGTATTTTCAGTATTGTTTTGTATAATCAGCACCATCAAGATAGGTTACAGCAGGGAATATTAATAAGTGTGCCAATTAAAGCTGAGACAGTCCCACCTGGCCTTCAGAGGGAAGTGCATCGTCTGTCTCCTGCACTAAAAGTGGTTCACAGACCAGCAGCCTCAACCTCACCTGAGAGCTTGTTAGAAAATGCAGAATCTCAGGCCCCAGCCAGACCTCTTGAATTACAGCCTGCTTTTCCAACAAGAGTCCCAGGGGATTCCTGTGCACGTAAAGCTGATCTGGAGTATTTTACTTAAATAATTTTACATTTTTTTCTTGCAAGAGTATCTTGTTCTTCAGGCCTTTATCACGGACTCAGAATTATTTTGTTTGACCGTTTTAGAATGTGGCAGCAAGAGGGAACTTGAAATAAAGCAAGTTACCGTGGCTGCCCTTCTGTCCAGTTCTCGACATCTCACAGTTTACTCTCAATTTACTATTCACAGTACAACAAGAGTAATTTGTGGCATTGATTGTGAATTCTACCTTATCTTTAAATAGAGTGTCCGGTTCAGTCCTCCTGCCTTAGAGGACTCTGACATTTCCTGTAACTCTTCTGCCTTACCAGGTGGTCATATTTGAGGAGAGCATGACCTTATAGTGGAATCTTAACTATTAGATCATTCATTCATTCAAATATTTATGTAGGGAGAGACTTTTATTGAGGGAGAGACTTTTCAAATATTTATTGAGGGAGAGAGGCAAAAACAGAGCATCTCACCATACTGTATTATGTAAGCTGGTTGCCTAACGGGGATTAGGTGAGAAAAAACGAGTACAGTATGATCATTGCTCTACAAGAAGTGTAATGGGAGCAAAGAAGAAAAGTTGAATAATCCTATTCAGAGGGATTGAGGAAGCCTTTGAAAGAGGTCATTTCAATCTGAGCCTTGAAAGATGAGTGTGGGAAGGGCTTTCCAGGTGAGAGATCAATAGGAAAATGATAGGGAACCTGAAAGAACGTGGCACAGTCAGGGGATGTTCCAAAGTTCAGGGTCCTAAACTCAATTTAGGATTATTTATGTGAAAACTGTAACCGATCTTTATATAAACTGAATTATTTAAAGTTATATGTTATAAATGTTATAAATGTGAAGAAGGTAAAGTATATATACTAAGCACACTATTGAACTGAATGAATGAATCGTTATCTTAAGATCGTGCCTTGGTCTTTCAAGCTTTCAAACACACAAAGAAAGTTTTTCTTTAAACTTTAGAGTTGTTGATAGCCTTTCTGTTTAACTGATGCTTTGACCTTCTGTATTTAAATTAAGGTAAAAATTTAAAAAAAATTAAACATTAAGTATAAGAGTGACATCACAGGGATGTGATGCTCTGCAGTACAGCAGGAATGGATGACAGTGAAAAATACCTGCATGCAGTGTTTATCTGTGCTCCCTATAATCCTTCAATGTTGTTTATGTCGTCTGTGTGAAAACCACCCTCATTTTCTTCAGATAATACTTTACAATGTCTGAAGACTAGTAGGCTCCCCTCAGCATGAATGAACTTACTAGAACTACGTGTGGAAATTAACTTGCCACTTGTGTTGTGAAACTTTAGGTACCCATTAGGCAGTGTGTAGTATCACTTCAACTCTGCCCAGGACCTCGTGGGCTGGTTACAATTGCTGGTACAAGTAGCGTTGGTACCCAGTTTAAGAGTATCTTTCTGAGAACAGTGACTTCTGGCTCGGGGGACTGCAGAGCGCCAGGTCTCCTGAGCCCCTGGGAGAGCAGGTGTTATCTTTGTCCGTTGTGTAGAATAAGCCAGCTCTGTAACTCAGTCAGAATGCATCATGTCCAAGGACGTTCAAGAATGAGCATTTGTGTATCAAGTCATCCTTATTATTGACACTTGTATACTTAATGCTTGAATCAAACAGGCTTTTTTCAGATAAGTAAATTTTTGCGCGATTTATCGAACTGGGTAGAAGTTGGTGTTGCGATGGGCCCACATCCCTTTTCTGATGCTCTCCAGGCTAGACGTGGGTTGAATCAGAGTTTCTCAGATTTCAGAATGGCACTGTGGTGCGTGGGTGTATAACGACCATCGAGTCAACATTAGTGTCTGTAAGTAACCCCCAGGGGCCTGGGCAGCACCCTGTAACCCAGAGTGTCAGGTTTTCTGTAGCCTGAGGTGTAAGTACTCATTATTGTGAGATAACTACACCCCAAATAGCCTCAGGCTAGCCCGGTGTTGCCACCGCATGAGTTCAGGTCACGTCAGGTCTTGTCCACTAAAGAATGACACAGAAAGAGAAAAACAAATATCGAATATAATGCATATATTTGGAATTTAAAAAAATGGTATAAATGATCTTATTTGCAAAGCAGAAGTAGAGACAGACATAGAGAACAAACGTATGGATACCAAGGGGGTAAGGGGGGGTGGTGGGATGAATTGGGAGATGGGGATTGACATCTATACACTATTGATACTATGTATAAAATAGATATCTAATGAGAACCTACTGTACCGCACAGCACAGGGAACTCTACTCAGTGCCCTGTGGTGACCTAAATGGGAAGGAAATCCAAAAAAGAGGGGATATATGTATACGTGTAGCTGATCCACTTTGCTGTACGGTGGAAACTAACACAACATTGTAAAGCAACTATACTCCAATAAAAAAAATGAAAATGTAAAAACAAAAAAGAGTTACACAGAAAAGTTTCTGTTTTCATAGCTTTTTGGATTTTGAAATCGCCAGTAAGCGACTGTGGATTTGTAATTCTACACATTTTTTTTTTTTTAATACCTCAGCTGTACCTCTTGCATTCTTCCCAGTTTGTTTGGACCTGTTAAAACTGTTGCTATTTGTCACTCAAGATCTTGACCAAGTTCGTTATAGAAAGTAAGAAACTGTAGGGAAATACCAGATATCAAAGGGAGAGAATGTGCCTTGGATCTCTCCTTAGCACTGGCGTCTTGACATGTGCAAAACCTCTGGGGTCAGGACAGGAAGCTTTTCCCAGCGCCTGACAGTTTAGGGACCTAAGCTCCCTTATTGCAGGTTTTCGCATTCTATTTAGATATCTGGTATTCCTTACCTAATAGGAAGAACACTGCTGTGTAAACGTCTTAATTAAATGTTAATTGGGCCTGGTAGGGGCCAAGGTACTCTGAAATATTGGGTTAGCACCTTGGAGTTTGGTTTTCACAGCACTGACACAGCATGCTTCCTGCCCCACAGTACAAATGACAATGTTACTAGCACAGAAGCCGAAAATATGAGCAACTCCTGCATCTGCAAGTCTTAGAAGCTCTCAGACCCACCCGATAGCCACATTTTACCCTGAGAAGGAGGGAGATAATTCGAAACATCAATTGCCACAGTTTTTGAAGTCGGCTTCTTATCTTGTCATCATGTTTTGTCTGTAGCAAAGAGAGACATTCTATTTCTCTTAAAAGTGTTCTTAGAGGGAAAAAATAGTCTGTAAGGTTGTTTTGTTTGTTTGTTTGTTTTTGCGGTACGCGGGCCTCTCACTCTTGTGGCCTCTCCCCTTGCGGAGCACAGGCTCTGGATGCACAGGCTCAGCGGCCATGGCTCACAGGCCTAGCCGCTTCGCGGCATGTGGGATCTTCCTGGACCGGGGCACGAACCCGTGTCCCCAGCATCGGCAGGCGGACTCTCAACCACTGCGCCACCAGGGAAGCCTATCTGTAAGGTTTTTAAGGCTGGCTCCTTGCTGTAAATCTGTGAACAAGGAACATATTTGAACTCTAAGGCTTGCAGTGTGAAATGAACACTGGCTCATTATTCTGAGCGTCTGGAGATACTGATTCAAGTGATGTTTGGAGAGTAAGGAGATTAGGGAAGTGGCTGACACAGCACTTATGAACTCTGTGATATATGCTGGCCTGTTACTCAACTATTTGCAAATTTCCATTACTAATTACAAATGGAAAAAAATTTGTTTATTAGATTTTTCTTGAAGTCCATTTTAGGCCAGTAGTAAATCATGGTGGGTAAACGTGGCTGCTTGAAGCCTTATCTGAGAGTAATACTGAGAACTGACAGGGAGTGAGATGATGACAAAGAATGGCACAGCAGCAAACCAGGGATATTTGGTACAAGGGCAGGCTGTGGCACCCCTTCATGTGCCCATGTGTCTTAGTACAGGACTCAAGTTATACATGTGTTCACTTTAAGAAGGTTTACTACTCCTGAGCTTCTATAAAGATTTTCTGTCCCATTCAGTGTATAGTGCTGCATCTGTACTCAGTAAATGTTTGCCGAGTGGATGAAAGTATATGTTTCATATTAGAGATGTTTTATATTAAAAATGTTTAAAAAATAAATAACCTTTGGGCTTAAAGGAGCAGGCTCAATTAATAAAAGTTCACACATGTACAAAACTTCATACATGGTTTTTATATATGAGTCACTGAATCTAGTTTGTTCAACTAGGTTTTTCTTATACATAGTATAAAAACCAGGTGCATAACTAAACTGCAAATATGTTTATGGCTTTTAAAGAGTATCCTTGCGTTGGGTATACCCCGGGCTACCCAGTGGGCTCACATTGCCTGGGATGTGAACACACTCTCTGAGGCTCATTTCTCATAGTTTCTGCTGCTCACTCTTTGGGAGTCTGAGTCTGACAGCCCTCCCAGGGCCCCGCCCCGTCAGCCCACTCTTCCCGAGGGAGCGGGGGCTCCCCAGGCACTTCACACCAGGACTCCCTCAGGGTGCATCACAGCCAGGCTGGGCTAAGTCCGGGGCCCTGTGTGCCTCGTGCCCACTGAGGGCTGGCTGGGCCTGATGCCCTGGCAGCTCACTTGGTGTCCTCCCAGCATCCTCCTTCGGGTGCTTCCCCCATCACTGCTCTGCGTTTCTTCCCCTCTTTCGCCTTTGTGCTCTGCCCTCCGGAAGCCCTCTTCTTGGGTTAAGCGACAGCCCTACAGCCTCGGCCTCTTGCTTTCACCTCCTTGGCTGCAGAAACCTGGGTTTTCTCTGATGCTTCTCTGTCTCCCTCAGGGGTATGGGGGTGAGACCACGGTCTTTTTTCCTTCAAGGCCCATTCCAGACCTCATCCACCACCCCTTCTACGGAAACCTCTCTCCCTTGACGATGCTGCCTTCTTCTCTTGTTGTTGCCATGTCCTCTGATCTTCTGCTCACTTACTTTTCTTTTTTAACGGCTTTACTCTCTCTCAGTCCTTTTCCTTCATGGCAGCCATAGCTACCCATCAGCCCCTTGACCCCCTCGCCTTCTGTGGCTTCCTGACTTCTCTTCCAAGCCTTGTCATGATGCAGATCTCTGTCTGACCACAATCTCCATCCCTGATCTTTCACTCAGTCATTTCCAGGCTACCTGCTCTGTTTTTTTTTTTTTAAATACAGCTTTTTAAAAGTATAATTGACATAAAACAAATTGTACATGTTTAAAATATACATTTTCATAAGTTTAAGCATAGGTATACACCTGTGCAGCCATTGCTACAATCAAGATAATGAACATAGCCATCACTCCCAAAAGTTTCCTCCTGCCCCATTCCACCCTTCCCCAGCTCACCCCCCAGTCCCCAGGCAACCACTGATGTGCTTTTTGTCCTTATAGTTTGATTTTTTAGAGTCTTATAGAAATAGAATCATGCAGTGTACTCTTTTTTGTTTGGCTTCTTTCACTCAATACAATTATTTTGAGAGTCATCTGTGTTGGTGCATGTATTAATAGTTCATTCCTTTTTATTTCTAAGTTGTACAGTAGTCCATTGAATGGATATACCATAGTTTTTTTATCCATTCATTTGATGATGGGCCTTTGGGTTGTTTCTAGTATGTGGCTACAAATAAAGCTACTGTAAACATTTGTGTACAAGTCTTTGTGTGTGGACATGTGCTTTCCAGTCTCTTGAGAATGGAATGGCTGAATCAAATAAAGGCATGTGTTTAACTGCCAGACTATTTTCCCAAGTGGTTGTACCATTTTACATTCCTGCCAGCAGTGTGAGAGTTCCGATTACTCCACATTCTCATCAACACTTAGTCTTATCAGTCTTTTAATTTTAGCGGTAGTGGTATCTCGTTGTGGTTGTAATTTGCATTTCTCTAACGACTAATGATCTTGAGCATCTTTTCATGCGCTGTTTGCCACCTGTATGTCTTTGGTCAAGTGTATCTTTGAATCTATTGCCTATTTTTAAATTGAGGGTTTCCCCCGAATACTGAATTTTAAGAATTCTTCACATATTCTAGTTATAAGTGTTTCAATCAAATATATGATTTGAAAATACTGTCTTCCTGGCTCTGGCTCATCTTTTCATTTCTTTAATAGTGTCCTTCAAAGAGTAGAAGTTTTTACTTTTGATGAAATCCAGTTTACCAATTTTGCTTTTATGGATTATGCTTTTGGTGTCATGTCTAAGGAATCTTTGCCTAACCCAGGATCACAAAGATCTCCTGTGTTTCCTTCTAGAAGTTTTATAGTTATATATTTCACATTTAGGCCCTTGATTCATTCTGAGATAATCATTGTTAATTTCAGCTTCCTCCGGTAGACTGCTGCTCCCCTGTGCTTAGATGTTGTAGTGCCAGAAAGTCCTGTGCTTCTGCTCTACTGGCACTTTCAGCAGAGCTTGTACACCAGCACCCACTTGGCATTCCTCCATGCTCTTGCCCCTTCTCTGATGTCATACTGCCATCGCTTATTAATTGGCTTGAGGCACGATGCATACACAGAGGGAGGTTTTTTTTAAATTAAAGATAAATAAGGAAGAGTTTTATAATGTTAAAGTTAGATTTGACACGTCTTTGTGAAATTGTGGCCTTAAAAATATCTTTAAAAGATCTTGAAAAGATTGCCACTTTATCAGGAGAAATCTTCAAGCACTTATCAGTGAGATAAGCAAAGAAGTAGACTTTGAAAACATTGATTAATTTGCTTCCATTAAAGCCAGGAAAGTAAAATTAAAATACATTCTGTGTTATAAATATTTAAACTAGTGTGATTTTTCATAATACTTTTTCATTTTTCAATATTGAGCTTTTTGATTTTTCAATGTTTTTCAACTACTTTACTGTACTCATTCATTTATTCTTTTATCACGAGTCAATATAGTGGTAATCAGTAGGCTTGAAGAGGCACATAAAAGAGATGGAGGTGGGTATAATCACAGTTTGGTTGAGGAGTTTAAAAATCCAAACAGGAATGATATACAGAGAGAAACTTTTTGAAATTAAAATGAAACTGATTTCATAATGGTAAAGTAAAAGTAGAAATATCTTTGTGAACTTAGGGTCTTTAAGAAATACCTAACGTGACCAGGGAAGGCTCTCAGGTACTCATCACCAATTCTCATGTTGAAACCCTCTGACATGTGCCTGCACTGCACACATTTTTCTTTCTAATGTTGATCTTATTTAAAAAGAGGTCCTTAAAGAATAGCTGATGCCCTGTCTTTCGGGGGGAATGTGCTTCGCATGTACCAGACACTGTTCTAAGCTTGTATATAAACTCATTTAAACCTCATTACAGTGCTCTCTGGTAGGCACTGTTATTATCCCATTTTACAGATGAGAAAACTCAGGCATGGTGAAAGTAAGTAAGTGACCCAGGTTACACAGTAAGCACAGAACCTAGATTTGAACCCTAGCAGTCTGGCTCCTGAATCTGGCTTGCAACTGCTAAGCTGCACTGCCTCACACATCTGAGAGTTTCTGAATACAGCAGGATGGAATAGATCAAATATATATATATTAGTTTTCTATTGCTGCTGTAACGAATTAACAGAATCATTTCAAAAAGTAGGGTACTGTTGACAGATACGGGGCATAGATTCTCTGTGTCTCTTTGTAAAGTCTGTCCTTTTCCTATGTATTTTCTCCTGCCTGTGTAGAGAAGTGTAGATATAGGCAACTGTGGGTAGGCTGAGAGTTTAAAATAAAAATGTTGAGCCCATTTCAAGAAGGGGAAGGAAGGACTGACAACCCCCCCGTGGTCACACACAATGAGCAGGAGAAACTGTTTCTGAGAATGTGTTGCAAGATGATGGATTTGCCGGACGTCTGGGAAGAGAGCTGTGAAGACTTTATCCCGAGTCTCCCAGGAGGTGAGGTTCTGCCGGCTCTGCCAAGCCTTGGGAGGTCCCCATGGACATAATGGAGCAAATACTAAGCTGAGGCAGAGTGGGCTTGGTCCAAGAGTGGATGAACAGGGAGGCGAGGGACGAGGACCAGGTGGAGGACAGGTGTGGGATAAGTAGTCCTGTGAGCACAGGCACTCAGGGCTCAGCTGTGAGAGAGCCCAGCCTAGTCAATGCTGACTCTGGACCCCAAATCACTAGACGTGCTTTGGTGACAGATGTGGAGGGAAGTGGGTGTTTTAACTTCCTACTTCATCACAAACCATTAGTAATTCAGTGCTGCAACCTAGTCACGACGATGGTGAGTTCCCACCGAGCCCAGCGTTAGGTGTTATCAACAGTACAGCAGATAGCTGTACAAGGTTCCTTCAGAAAGCCAGTGATTTCATTCTAGGTAATGAATTCCTAAAGTGTATGCATTTAACTGACATACGTGTATCTGTCCACATAGATACAACCTGTAGCAGTTGTCGAGGCACTGGCTCTATTTCTTCAAAATATGTTGGTGGTGTAAAGTGACTTGATATCCAATTTTAAAATATTGCACAGAACTTTCCATCAGGAAATCGAAATAATTTTTTTTTCTCAAAAAAATTGGGAAAAAAGGTTCTCTCGCTTAAGACTTCCAATTTATTTTTATTTTAAAAGATTACTTCCGGGGCTTCCCTGGTGGCGCAGTGGTTGAGAGTCCGCCTGCTGATGCAGGGGACACGGGTTCATGCCCCGGTCCGGGAAGATCCCACATGCCGCGGAGCGGCTGGGCCCGTGAGCCATGGCCGCTGAGCCTGCGCGTCCGGAGCCTGTGCTCCGCAACGGGCCTCTCACTGTTGTGGCCTCTCCCGTTGCGG